AGTAACATCATCAGTTGGGAAACTTGATCTTGTGTTAAACCAGAAATCATTGAAGCATTACTAGACTCAGATGGCTTGTCAGAATCAGAAACCACATTAACAGAGGGAGAGGGAGAATTCACTTCAACATGAGCTGTAGTTTTCCTACTGGCAGACCCTTTTGTGAACTTAAAATTTGAAGGATACCCATGTAACTTGTAACACTTGTCAATAGTGTGACCAGGTTTCTTACAATATTTGCATGTAAGGGGTCTTTGTGTGTCAAAGTTGACTCTGGAAGGGAAACCTTATATAGAGACCCCAGCATTGAAAGATGCATCTGTAGGAAGAAACTGAGGAGAGGTAGAGACCTGCCTCTGCTTCTCATCTGACAATAATATGCTATAGACAGTACTCACAGATGGAAATGGTTTGATCATGAAAATATTGCTTCTGGTTTGCACATATATATCATTGAGACCCATCAAAAATTGGTACACCTTTTGAACATCATCATCCCTTTGATAGTCAGATTTGAAACCACAGTTACTACAAGACCTGACTCTACTAATTGACAAGGCATCAATTTCATCCCACAATTGCTTGATTTTGTAGAAATAAGAAGCAATATCAAGCGATCCTTGGGAGATGTGAGCAAGTTCTTTCTTAAGTTCAAATACCCTTGCAGCATCTGCCTGACCATATCTTTCCTCCAACTCACTCCAAATATCTTTGGCAAGTTCAGAATACTCAACACTACGAGCAATATCTTTGGATAGGGAGTTAATTAACCAAGAGACAACCAAATCATTACACCTCTGCCATTGTCTCGCTAAAGGAGAGCTATCAGGAGGTTTAACTGAAATTCCATTAATGAAATCCAGTTTGTTTCTAACAGATAAGGCCACAAGAATGGTTCGTCTCCAACTCCCGTACCCAGTACCATCAAAAGGTACAGAAACTAAAGAAGATCCTAAAATATCGGACGGATGAACATAAAAAGGATGACATGGATGCGTATAATCGTCCTCATGAAAAGCAGATCGAGAAACAGAAGAAGCAGTTGGTAACACAGGTTCGGAACCATCATTATTCGGCATTTTGTATGCAATTAATCAGAAAAAAATTCATGCACAAATGAAACAAGAGAACAGAGATAACTAGGGTTACCAAATTTCCTTCGCGACAGGAAGAAACAATGGCCTTGTAAACAAAAGAGTCACAGGGACCAGCACCTCCTAGTTGACTGAGTAAGAGATTGACAGAATCCAGCAAACCCTAGGTCGAAATAGATGCCTCAAATAACTCCAAAAAAATGATTGCATAGGGTCAAATTTGACCCTCAGCATCTCTACGCCAGTGGGTACGCCCAGTGAGTGTACGCCGACTAACGTAGCGGGTACGACTCGGACGTGGGGACAAAAGCGACATCGTTTAGGACTCAGTGTCTTCACTAGGGAGACGTTACCTGTCTTTGTAACTTTTTGATTCTTTCAAGGAAGGTCTCTTATTATATAAAGGAGACCTTCACATTGTAAAGAGGGGATTCTGATCTAATACAACTCTCTCATTTTCTGGCTTTCTCTCTCTATCTCTACCTCAAACGAACATATTCTATTGAGTTCATATTATTACTTTGCAATACTAGATCTACAACAATAACATCATCTTTGCATCTCTAGGTTTATTATATTTGATTACGATTTACCCTTTTCTTACTTTTGATTGTTTTCTAGCTTACAAAGTATATTGTTAACTTTTGAGCCGAACAAATACCACTCTTGTTGCTTCTTTGTTCATTGGATTGTCGTTGCCAGTCAAAACAACCTCTGCCTCTTCCATTGCCTCTACCATTACCATGACCGCGGCCACGAAATCCTCTTCCACGGCCTCTACCTACTGAATATTCGCCGTCAACATTTTTAGTGGCTGCCACTTTCACTTGAAAAGCTTTTTCTTCATTCTTTTCAAGTGATCGATTAATTCTTGCCTCATGTGCTTGCAAAGATCCCATTAATTCATCATAGGAAAAAGTTGACAGATCCTTAGACTCTTATATGGCAGCAACTACATGATCAAATTTTGGAGTTAAGCTTCGCAATACCTTTTCCACAATGGTCTGATCTGTAACCTTCTCGCCGTAGGATCGCATTTGACTGATAATTGCCATTGCTCTTGACAAAAAATCAGCAGCAGATTCTCCACTTTTCATCATCAAGGTTTCAAAGTCACGCCGAAGTGACTGTAGTCTCACCACAATGACCTTTGAATCACCTTGAAACTCTTTCTGCAGAATAGACCAAGCTTGCTTTGATGTGGTCGCTGTTGCGATCCGTGAGAAGACGCTATCATGAACAGCCTGCTGAATCATCACCAATGCCTTAGTGTCTTTCTTCTTGTTGTCTCGCAGCTTGTTTTCTTCGTCAGGATCTACATACCCTTGTTCTACCAAGTCCCAAAGATCTTGAGATTTGAGTAGAATTTTCATACGGATACTCCAGAACTTGTAGCCTTCTCCCTTGAAGACAGGAATGAGTGGTTGTGCCGCACCCAATGCACTGTTGTTACTTGCCATCGTTCTCTGTCTCAAATGTATCACTCAAGTTTGTGTTTTCCTCTACTCACTCTCTGTAACAAGGCTCTGATGCCAAAGATGTTGAATAAAGTAAGCAACAGATTGAAAATTTGAGGAGAAAAGCTACAATGTACAAGAAGTTTGCTGGAATTTTTCTTAACTTTATTGATATATTAAACTGAAGCAAAAATTGCCTTTATATAGGCTTACAAATAAACAGATCACTAAGCCACTAAACTGACCACTAGGGCTGTGCATAATTTGGTAAATACCGAATTACCGTACCGAAACCGAAAATTTTGGTATTTGGTATACGGTATTTTGGTATTTGGTATGGTATTTGGTTTAAGTTTTTTAAAATATTGGTATTAGGTATGGTATTTGGTATTTTAAAATAAAATACCGAAATACCGATACCGTACCGAAATATATATTATATTACACAAAACACATATTATCAATTATAACATAAATATAAAAAATCTAAAATTTTACTTTCCTTTATTCTCTAAGTTCATCAATTAACTCTAAACAAGTAACATTTCTAATGATCAAATATTCTTTTTGTACAATTTTCTCTATTTGGGTCGATATTTGCTAGTTTTGGACAAAATTTTTGTCAACAAACATTTTTCAGTTTTATATTTTTGAGTACTTTATTTAAGAATATTAGAGTGTATGGCTCTATGCACTAATTAGTATTCAAACCGAATAAACCGAAGTTACCGAACCGAATAGACCGAAATCGAAAGGAGAAAAACCGAACCATACCGAATTTAATTAGATACGGTATTGGTATAAGATTTTAAGAAACCGAATACCGAAAATACCGAACCGAAATATCTAAATACCGTACCATACCGACCGACGAACACCCCTACTGACCACTATTACCACTAATAAAACAACAACTATCCACTACTATTAAACCATAAAACTATACCATAACTACTGCTATCCAATCCAAGTATATAGGACACTACTAACAAACTCAAATTTGAGTTGGTCTTGGATTCAAAGTAGCATATTTGACCTTATCATCCGTTCCTTGAATTCCTGAAATAAGCAACAGAATGATACAGCTATTAAGACACAACAGATAGATGTTAAAGCCAATAATTGAGTAGAAATCTATAAACTTGGGATATAGCTTGGTTTTAAAGCATAAATTTATATTGAACACTAGAACAAGCTTTCTTCTCTCTCTCTCTCTCTTTTTTTTTTTTTTTTTTTACATTTGAAAATTTAAAGTAACTTATATTTATAAAAAATTATCACATAATAATATTAAAAAACTTTTGGAACAAAAAAGTTAATGTAAAAAATATTATGTCTAGTCAAGTTACATCATAAAACATGCTAATAACTTCAAGAAAGAGGTTTTATTTCATGATTTGGAATTACCTCAGAGATTATTCTATGAAGGAAGTACTGTGGAAATGATTTGTGCACATTGTAGGCGTTTGTATAGTAGAAATCAAAATTGAAGAAAAGTTTGGGGGAGTTTGAATTGTGTTTGAACATTAATTTCATTTAAAAAAAGGTTTATATCATTATTTTAATATTTAACTTGATATTCAAATTCAGAGCTTCAATATTTATAAATCACCACAAATATTTACAATGACGGTTCCAACTTGCTCGGGACTAAGGCGTACTAGTTGTTACCGTACCACCAGTATTTACAAATATAAAAATTCAGTATTTGAAAGTACTCAAAATATATTATTACAAAATGAATTTTTAGTTTAAGAGTATGACTTCATTCTTTGGAAAACTTGAACTCATGGATTTGTAATTTTGAAATTTTAATTTAATCACCTAAATAAAGTTTAGATTTAAAAAGATAAAATACCTACATCACGATACTTATTTTAGAAAAGGCGTTGATTGTTCTAGTCATGTCTCTTGTATGGATTATATTTCTCACTCGTGAAGATGTTTCTTGTTGCAATTTGCATCAATCACAACTGAACAAAGAGAAAGTAATACATGGATTCTGTAAGATATTATAAGAAAAAGATTATATTTTATTATTATTTATCTTACCTTTTTAAAGCATGAATTTTGTGAGAGTTTTAGTAGTCATTTGGATATAGATTTGGTTGAAACTCGAAAAAAATAACTTTTGAAATTGGGCTGAAAATAATTTTTAGAAGTTGAAGTTGTGTTTAGATGTACATTTACTTGAATAAAAGTTAAAATTTTGTGAGAGAAAGATGTCAATAGTTTTTTTTTTTTGGTTGCTTATTTAAAAAATAATAACAAAAATATTATTTGTTCATAAAAATTTGATCAACTTTTGGAAGAAAAAATCAAGTTCCAAGGGTTAATTTTTTTTTTTTTTGGCATCAAATTTTTATGAACAAATAATATTTGTTTTTATTTTGAAATAAGCAACCAAAAAAAAAAAACTATTCGCATTATCCTTCAAATTCTGTATCCACCAAGTAAAGCATTTTCAGAAAAACAAAATAAAAACCAAAACGAAGTCACAATGCGCAATTTCGCTTCTCATCTTCTTCTCCCCCACCCACCCTACCATTTCACCCTACCATGCCCCGTCGGAAAAATTCTGAGACAAATAGATCAACATCCGTAGCTTTTCGACACCCTAAAACGGACCCGAATCGTTATCGGGGCGTCCGTAAACGGCCGTGGGGCCGGTTCGCAGCCGAGATACGAGACCCGATAAAAAAAGCTCGGGTCTGGCTTGGCACCTTTGACACGGCGGAGGATGCTGCACGCGCTTACGATGATGCCGCACGCGCCTTCCATGGACCCAAAGCGAAAACCAATTTTTCAGTTTTGCCTCCGTATGGGCAGAACCAGTTTGAAAATTTTAACTGGCCGGCTTCCAGTAGCCTGAGCAGTACGGTGGAGTCATCCAGCGGGGCGCGTGATTTGCACTCGCGGGTTGAAATTACTCGCCGGATTACTCCGCCGGCGGTGGAGTGTTACAGTTGTTGCGATTCGTCATCGACTGTGGTGGATGATAATATTGACGTCGATTCGTCGTCGTTTTGTAAACAGCCTCTGCCGTTTGATTTGAACTTGCTCCCTCCGTCTGATGACGTTGATGATGTCCATGTTACCCCTTGTATTTTTAGTTATGTTAATTAATTTGATTATGATGAAAAAAAAAACTCTTTTTTCTATGTTATTTATCCATGTGGTGGATGTTGAGAAATTAATAACCAAATGGGTTTTTAAATTATGCATAGATTAATTTACTGAGTCATGATGTTATCTAAATCAGAAAAGAATGTATCTTTACTATAGAACGTTGGATCTGATGCTGAGTTTTTTTTTATAATTATTATTGTTTTTGATTTATAAGATTTACCTTTTTTTGTATTATGAAACTGAATTGGTAAAATGTTCTTCCTTATGAAATTGGAACATTTTTTTTGTCTCTGTGCGTTTTCTTCTGGTAAAATGGGTCTGAATACAGCATATTGGACAAGATGATTTATATGAACTAACTTGGATGGAGGCGTAGTTGATTGATTGATTGCTTCTGTTTTTTGAGAAATATTCTTGTAGTACTATGACTTCGTGCAGGATAATCGGATGAGCACGCGTTGGCAGCAATGGTGATAAATGAGGAGGATATATGCTGTCGGGAAAGAAGATCGAAGGAGCGGAGGCATCTCAAAGATTTAGCAGCCAAGTGAGTAGCTGCATTTGACTTTATAACTTGTTTCCTGCGTTTTACTATTATGAGTAGACGGACTGGTCCTTTATACTTATAAATTAAGTACTAGTAAATAGAGTGATCACCTTTCCTTAGAAACTTGGAATTTAGAGAGGCAACAAGTATTGTTGCCAAGAGTGTTCGTGTTCATTGTATGCTTCTTGGGCCTGATAGTGTTCCCAATGAAAAGGGAAAGAATCCACACTAGGATAGCCATGGTCGCCAAGACTTTGATGGAAGGAATCAACAGAAAAATATACACCATGGTCCCCATGATCATAGCCGACATCTACAGGGCTCTGGAACGCTGTCAAAGAGGGGTCAAGCATTTCGAGGGTTGTAACATGTTGCTGCAGTTGTGGTTATTAGAACATCTTCAAAAGGGGCAGTATCGCCAGGATCTTCCGCGAAGGGCTTGGAATGACCATATTGCCTTCCATCACCCTAAGCGGATGACCTACATTTCGGACAGGTTTGCTCANGTAGACGATACTAAATCAATAAGGTATCGATTAGATCTAGGAATGAATCAACAGAATCTTCTTCATTTTAGGATTTTAGGTTTCAATTAGTCGCTTTTGTGAATGAAAAAAATGTACCTACCATCTTTTTGGATTCCTATCTGAATCAAATTTTGAATTTGATTAATTTATTGGAATTGATAAAATTAGGAGTTCATAAAGAAATTAAGTCTATATACCACGTTCAAATTACTGGCATTATTATTACTGATCGATAAAATTCGATAAAATCCATATCTGTAAAATAAAGAAAGGGGAAATTCTTTTATGGTAAAAAATTCTGTCATTTCAGTTATTTCTCAAGAAGAAAAGAGAGGATCTGTTGAATTTCAAGTATTCAATTTCACTAATAAGATACGGAGACTTACTTCACATTTAGAATTGCACAAAAAAGACTATTTATCTCAGAGAGGTTTGAAGAAAATTTTGGGAAAACGTCAACGACTGCTAGCTTATTTGTCAAAAAAAAATAGAGTACGTTATAAAGAATTAATTAATCAGTTGGACATTCGAGAGACAAAAACTCGTTAATTTGATTTATTTGAAGAGTCATTTCATTTTCACTTATATGTTTCGATTAAATTTTGATGAACTTCTTTTCACTTTCAGCAATTCATGGAAGAATGAATCGGTAAAAAACTTATGACTGCACCAACTACAAGAAAAGACCTCATGATAGTCAATATGGGGCCTCAGCACCCATCAATGCACGGTGTTCTTCGACTCATCGTTACTCTAGATGGTGAAGATGTTGTCGACTGCGAACCAATATTGGGTTATTTACATAGAGGGATGGAGAAAATTGCGGAAAACCGAACAATTATACAATATTTGCCTTATGTAACACGTTGGGATTATTTAGCTACTATGTTCACAGAAGCAATAACCATAAATGGACCCGAACAATTAGGCAATATTCAAGTACCTAAAAGGGCTAGCTATATCAGAGTCATTATGTTGGAGTTGAGTCGGATAGCTTCTCATTTGTTATGGCTAGGCCCTTTTATGGCGGATATTGGTGCGCAGACCCCTTTCTTCTATATTTTTCGAGAAAGAGAATTGATATATGACCTCTTCGAAGCTGCCACCGGTATGCGAATGATGCATAATTATTTTCGTATCGGGGGGGTGGCTGCCGATCTACCCTATGGCTGGATAGATAAATGTTTGGATTTTTGCGATTATTTTTTAACAGGGGTTGCTGAGTATCAAAAACTTATTACCCGGAATCCTATTTTTTTAGAACGAGTTGAAGGCGTAGGCATTATTGGGGGAGACGAAGCATTAAATTGGGGTTTATCGGGACCAATGCTACGAGCTTCCGGAATAGAATGGGATCTTCGTAAAGTTGATCATTATGAGTCTTACGACGAATTTGATTGGCAGGTTCAATGGCAACGAGAAGGGGATTCATTAGCTCGTTATTTAGTACGAATCGGTGAAATGACAGAATCCATAAAGATTATTCAACAGGCTCTGGAAGGAATTCCAGGAGGGCCTTACGAAAATTTAGAAATCCGACGTTTTGACAGATTAAAAGATCCTGAATGGAATGATTTTGAATATCGGTTTATTAGTAAAAAACCTTCTCCAACTTTTGAATTGTCGAAACAAGAACTTTATGTGAGAGTTGAAGCCCCAAAAGGAGAATTGGGAATTTTTCTCATAGGAGATCAGAGCGTTTTTCCTTGGAGATGGAAAATACTACACCCTCCTATTTAAGGGGTCATATTCTCGGTAAGCTGAAGCACTGCCATATCTTGCCTAGTTATCATTCCCCAATACTGTTTCGACTTACCTCTACCACTTCTCAGACCCACTAAGGCCAGCATCTCATGTCTCCTTATTGGAGAATCGGTCTCTCCTATTCATATGCCCGAACCATCCGCATCCGAACCATCCGCATCTTGTCATAGAACACCGGATGCGAACCTCTATTTTATCCATCCCCTCCAATACTATAAATTATTCCTATATTGCTAAAACTAGCAGTCTAATATAGTACTCCTTATGTTCCTTTTTATAACATAACAGTTTTTAATGTAGTACTTTTTATAATTTTTTAACTCTAAATTTCTTATTACCCTAACCATAGAAATAATATCCAAAATTTAAGAATATTTTGGGCATATGCCAAGAGTTTTTCTTTTTTCTTTTTAGATTTATGTGCAGTCAAATAACAACAATAACATTACCTCATCAATCCAAACAACTACAATGAATTCATGATCATGTCACTTAAATTAAACTCATTTCAAGATTCGTCTTCATCGAATACGGCCAAAAGTTAAACGGAATGAGCACACTACTTTTAATATTTTTTTTTTATTTTGGAAAATAAGGGCACCCGATGTACTAAACTTTCACTATATGCGGGGTCCGGAAAAGGGCCGAACCACAAGGATATATTGTACATGAACAAATGTTTACTCAAAACGGATGGAATGAGTACATTTTGTTTATTTTTGCAAAATACAATACAATGAATAAACGTTCACTCAAAACGGTTAAAAACACAAAGAGAAAAGAAGAAGATAGGACAAAACGTTGGCAACTTACGTTCCACAGACTCCCCAAATACTTTTCTCTGTGGGCCTGCTCCCCCTCCCACCACAAAATCCTCCAAAAAAAAAATACAAATCTTAAGAAAAAAGTAATCCCCCACAAACAATTGCAGTTCCTCTACTCCATTTCTACTTGAGAAATCCGAATTTGTTTGAGATCGAGGAGTAGTTAATTGATTTTGGAATATCTAATTTACTATGGTGGAAAGTTCGATTGGGGGAGTGGTGCCAGCAGTGAAGGGGTCAGTGAGTGTGGGGGGTAAAGAGGAGGAGGGTGGTAGTGTAAGGAATGAAGATGAAACAGAATGGGAATTGGATAGGGAATTGTTGTGTCCAATTTGTATGCAGATTATAAAGGATGCGTTTTTAACTTCCTGTGGCCATAGTTTTTGCTATATGTGTATAATCACTCACCTTCACAACAAGAGTGATTGCCCCTGTTGTTCTCATTATCTCACCACTAGCCAACTCTACCCTAATTTCCTCCTAGACAAGGTTTGTTTTAATTTAATGTCAATTTTCTGCTAGCAATTATATTTATTGAGATTTTGTTTTGGAGGAATTTTTTGTGTAATATGTTGGTTGAAATTGTGCCCAGTAAAGTGGAATGGATATTAATAACTTCCTCCGCCCCATTTTATGTGACGTTGTTGACTGATCACGGGATTTAGGAAAGAAAAATAGACTTTGAAACTTGTAGTCTAAAGCAAGCGCTAGGTATTTCTATGGCTATAAATGATCTGATTAAGGGTGAAATTGGAAGTTTAAAGTTAAATTTTTTTGAAATATAGAAATATATCATTCTTCTTGGAACATATTGAAAAGGAAAAAATATCACATAAATTGAGACAGAGGGTTATCATTTAGCCAACATGGTAGTAGAAGTAGTAGCTGTTGTTTAGTATAGTGTTGGTATTGATTATTGGAAACTGGAGTCTAAATAGCTGAGCTGATGAAGTATATAGTTTTGCAGTGCATAGTAAAGTTAGATCTGTACGGATATAAACAGCTTCGCCATGCTGGTTTTCTTGGTTTTTTGTTATGCTTATCTTAACCCTGTTGTTATGTGAAAGAAATACAAAGAAAAAGTACATGCCCATGAAAGTTGAGTGATTGCCCCAGTTGTTTAAAGAAAAGATAAATTACAGCTTTTTTATGTGACAGAAATACGTTTCTTTTGCTGCAGTGTTATGTAGTGTTGAATATTGAATTCTGCCATGAAAATTGAGTATTTAACTATTTAAGCTTCATTTTACACATTTCAAGATCCTTAAAAGAGACTAATAACAGAAAAAATGAGTAAATGCATTCACTGTGCTCTAGAATGCAAAACCCACTGATGTCTTCTGTGCTAAGAATCTGGGCGTGCACTGATATTTTGTAAATATATTCAAGTACAAAGGTAATTGTCTAGCATAAAAGAAAGGAAAAAGAGAACTCAGTCTGTGGCAACTCTAGTTATTGGCTATAAGCCTGAATATGGTCTAGGTTGATGCTCTGCCTTCTTAGACAACGCTTAGTACAAGTAAGAGGTGTTAAGACGTGCTTCTCAGTGCCCATGGTTGTTAACTTGAAGAGGGTGGCATTAAAAAATAAATGTAGTTTTAAAGAGATATATTAATTGGTAAGGAAATGTTATGGATGAAAATATTTGTGATTACGTATAAAAATAAGAACTTAGACTTAAAAACTAGTTAGTAAGACTATATTAGACTCGCTCGGGCAACTTCACCCTTTAAGTAACAAGGGGTGAACCGCAGGTATGAATCAAATAAAAAAAGTGAATCCACATCCTTCGCCACTTTCTCTCCTCTGCCTCGAGATTATAAGGATTTTTGCCCTCTTCCTCTTCAAATTAAATCGGCATACTGAAATCGATCTGATCACTTATTCGGGAGATGTCCAGAAATGGGCGTGATAGGAAGTTCCACTTAGTTAGCTAGGAGAATGTTACGTCTCCAAAGAAATGAGGGGGTCTTGGGGTGAAAGTCTCCGAGTTTTCAACAAGACATTATTAGGGAAATAGTTATGGAGATTCGGAATTGAGAAGCA